CTTCCGGCCTCTATGGCCGAAGCGGTGGCCGGGGGAGCGCGGGGACGCCGGCAGCCCCCGGCCCGGCCGAACTGGCGTCGGGGGCTCAGCCCCTGTCCCTGTGCTGTGCTGGGGAGAAGCCGCCACAGATCGTGACAATAACGTTTGCTGGTGACCTGCACGCTGGGGCCGCCTTTACAGAGGAACAATAATCTCTCCAGAGGAGATGAAAAGAATTCTAATTACATCTCCGAACAATATTTGTTTTGAGCGAGGAAAGCAAACCATATGGCATGTGGGAGACTGTTTGGGGGCCGCATTAAACAAGGATTTGTTTTTCATTTATGCTCTGATCTAAGCGGAGATGTGATCGTGCTTTATTTATTTATTACACCTCAGAGGCATGTGGGGTCCTGTGCTCACTCAGGGGCAGAAGTCCCGGGGGTCAGCGCGAGAGGGGGGGGGGTCCAAAGGCTCCCGCTCCCTCCCTTTCCTCCCGCTGCTCTTTGCAAAGTACCGGGGACTGGCGGGGGGACATGCAGCTCTGTCGGGGCACTGGGGTGGTCGAGGAGCAGCCAGGGCCCGGGGGGGGTCGTCCACCTGTGTGGCAGAGATCTGTCCCCTCGGCAGAGGGTGTCGGGTCTATTTGGCTGGGGAAGGGTCCAGGCACTCCTGGTGTCCCCCCTCGTGTGGCCGGCAGCATCGTCCCTCGCCGGCGCGGTGGCACATCCTCGCAGGTACCTGCAGCCTTCACTCTGTCTCCCACAGCCCTTTTCACCGAGACCCCCCACGACATGACGGCCCAGGCGGGTGAGGACGTGGAGATGGCGTGCTCCTTCCGAGGCAGCGGCTCCCCCTCCTACTCCCTTGAGATACAGTGGTGGTATGTCCGCAACCACAAGGACTGGACAGACAAACAGACATGGGCTTCCAACCAGGTAATGCCCCTCGTCCTCCCCCTCCGGCAGCAGCATCGGGAGGCAGAGCCCTTCCCCGCACTTGCCCAGGGGGCTTCGCTTGTAGCAGCTCTTGGGGCTCAGGGGAGACCCCGTCCCACAGCAGCATTCCCAGCGCTGACCGGACCTGCAAACAGCAGGGTCTTGCCCCTTGTGCTCCGTGTTCGCAGGCAGAGCCGAGCCTGGGGGTCCCAAAGCGCAGGACCACATGTTGGGTGCACGGCGTCCGGCTCCACCGAGGATGCTCCGGAGTGCGGGGCCGGTGAGGCTGGGCTGTCCTGGCTGCCCTTCCCAATTAGCCGAGGGGCCACGTGGCCCGTCCCCAGGGACTGATCCCAGAGGCTTTGTCTTTGTGCTTGTGCCTTCTCCCATCTCATCATGAACCCATCCCCTTGCATCACTCCCCGCATCCTCCGCGCCCCCCCACACCCCCCAGCCCTCCCTCGTTTTCCCCATTTCCGTGTGTATCGGTCTCGGCAAACAGCTGTCTCTTTATTTCTCTTTCTGTTCACACAGAGATAAGGGCCAAATAATGGGAAGGCAGCTTTGGGTATTTTAATGAGCCTTTATTATTGTGTCTTTGGCAGAGCTGCTACTGGTATTACCATAAATTGAGAGAAGCATCGGGGAAGTGCTGCCGCTTAGGAGCACTGCTGGGGAGTCAGG